TTTCTCCACTGTTGCACAATATTGTTATGGAATCATGCGATGTATTTGAAAGTAGTTGAGTTATTAGTGCACTTTCCATGTTTAGAAAATTGTATGTCTTTTACTTACGTAATGTTTTTAAGCCATGGATTAGTATGCAAGAATGCAACAATTCTTTGTAGATTTTTTTTAGGTAATTTTCTATAGGTTAAATGAATGTTGAGTTCGTTACACTACAAAAAAATAGTATATTTGTAACGGAATTTCATCACTAAAGATCACGTAGCTAACGTCATTCAATCATTAATTCCGTCTTTAATATCATTAGTAACAGAAAAAGTGAATTTAAAGACGAAAAAAACTCGTTACAAAAATAACATTTTCTTGTAGTGTTATTGTATTTGTTTCCCATATAAGAAAATTTGATAATTAATTTTGAAAATAAAAATATTTGGAAAGCTCATGAAATATTTTATGTCGAAAACTCGTTATTTTTTGTTGTAAACTAATAAAAAAAAATGAATCCAAATCAGATCAATTGTCATTCCAAATTATATTTTCAGTATGTTTAGTTTTATTTATTTATTTTTATTTATTTCTCAATATTTGGTTGATTATTGACAAGGGTTAAAATTTAAAACTTAATTAGAGATTTCAAAAAATCTCTCACTAAAATGCAAGACAAAGTTTACAAAGCACATATCTTCAAAATTAGAACATTTTACTACCTTAATATTCATCTTCATTTTCTGAAACTTCCTTTTGTTCCTTAAAGTCCTCATTTCATGTAACTTTTTCTTCATTTTATTTCTTAGATCTGCTGTTGTTATGTATTTCGAGTGCTACAACTCTTGAGTTAGCGCCTCAATTAATCTGACTCTTGAGTGGTCGCACTGCGCTGGACTGCCACGACAACTCTACCCGGATGGCTGGTAACCGTTAAGTTGAAGAAATCGAGCCTTTTGATGTCCGTGGCTCGAACCATGCGGCCACGTACCGTTACCAGCTTCTACGAGAATCTTGATGGACACTTGTCGCGCGAGTGCGATGAATGAAGCTAGTAAAGTTTGATCAGAGCTGGCGCCATCGATGGATTCAACAACAAGCACCACAATACACACAGTGATTTCGATTAACACGTAGCAGTCGGAGCGCTCGAATTTTTGACACCTGAGAAGCTTCCACTGCCACATGTACATCAAATACGTAATTCACATGGGTCGTTTGGTGGGACTTTTGTTTGTTTGCACTGTGGCTGTTGCGTTCCGGGACTATAAATTAGGGGCCGGCCTACCTAGGGTTTGCATCCACCTCTCATAGATTCTTCTATTCGCAATCTCAGGTTTCTCAGATTTTACGGAAACGGCAGACAGATGACAAGCAAGCGGCAGCGGTGGTGGTGGTAGCGGTTGCGGCAACGGTAGCAGAAGTGGCAGCCGCAGGCTCCCTGTATCTCCAGAAATCGGAGAGAGGCGCCGATTGAGGAGACGCCAGATGATTCTCGGCGGTTTCACTGCCGTCCTAAACCTCGCAAGAGATCCGATGACTTTCTTTGGGCACCTAGACGGCGTCTCCGGCTGGGGTGGGGCACCACAGGCCGCTTCTAGCTCTCGAAGCGGCCTGCCATCGTCCCCTGATATCAGATCCACCCTCACCACCGCCGCCACTGCGGATGCCTCCGGGACGGTTCCATCAAGGCAGCGTGGTGCCAGTGGTGGGGTGGAGGACGACGATGAAGTCGTTGCTGTGGGGTGTGTTGTCTGGAGCAACGAAGCCAGATTTCCGCCACCTAGTAACCACCAGAATGCCCCATCTAGGGGTTTTGTTGGTTCTAGCAGCTCCTCCGCCCTACCTAGGGTTCCGCCCAGAAATTGTTCGGCGCCGCCGCTTCGATTGTTAGGGCGATGGTGTTGATAGGGCACGATGGAGTGATGGATGACGCCATTAGCATCTGGATCCACCTTTGGTCGCCGGAAATCGCCAAATTCAAGCCCGTCCACTACTTCGGCATTTTTTTATGGCCATAGAGGATCTCAGGTGAGTTTGTATGTTCATATTACAGATCTGAAATCTCAATCTTCATATTTAACTAGATCATTAATTGTTCCTCTTTTGTGTGTCAGTGCGCCTTTATGTGCGAATCGAGGATGCATGAGATCCTCCGGGAAGAGATGGACCGGGAAGCCGCCAGATGAGACCACATCGGAGCAGCCTCGTCGTCGCTTCTCCAGGAGGCATGGACATGCATCTTCAATCGGTGCTTCAGGAGGATCGAGATGATGGCGACACCAACCCGCCAGTTCGGGTCCTTCGCCGGCTGCAACTGCGACCGCACCGAGTTGGTCTACTTGGGGATGACGGCGGTCGTTGTGGTTCTGATGATGGAGCATATCATCGTCGCCAACTGCGGTAACTCATGCGCCATCCTCTACCGTACAGGAAGAATAATCCCACTCACCGACGACCATCAGGTACTTAACCGTCGACTCAATTTTTGGGTTGTTTTGGGTGTCTCAACCTATTCATCATCTTGTTAGCGCATTTTGTGATTTTAAAACAAAGATTTCCATATTTTTTTTTAGTTTTGTTAGAATCGGTTTTTTTTTTTAGTAGTTTTCCTCCACAATTTTCCTCCTTCAATAACATCCAATATTTGTCAAGGACATGTGGCTTGTCATAGCTGAATACAGCAGTTTTTATACACTTTAGTTTATTAAGTTCAAATTTTTCTATCACTTTTCTTTTTCTCAAATGTCCTCTTGTAATTATAAATACAGTGTTTCACGGTGAAAGGGTCAACAATGGAATGCAAATAGAAATCGAGTGTAAGAACAATTGACTTTCTCAGCACAGACAAACTTGACTACTAACTAGCAAAAGCCGGATACATTTTGCACTTCTTGCAATACGTGCAAGTCACGTTATGAGTACTCTAATGAGTAGGAATAAGCCTCTGGAATGTCCTCAATGTGAACATGCTTTTATGGCATCTGAAATACCTGCTCGCAATTTAAATGTTGGGTGCTCACGTTATTGGAATTTCTTTTGGAACCCTGAAGATCTATGCATCTTCTTGGGTCGTGTAAGAAGTGTGGCACATGCAGCACTGGAAAGCTGCAGGAACGTTGCTCCACCTTTAGATGCAACCTTAAGAAACCCAAAAATGGAGGAGCCAATTAAGAAGAGCGGCTGGGGTGGTCCTTCATGTGCTACTTCAATATGCACTCAAAGAAGTTAAGAAAAGGCTGGTAGGAAGCGAAACATTGCAACGAATTAGGCGACTTATATGAGAAAGTAAACCTTGATAATTTTGGGGGTACAAAGAAGGAACCTCCGAAGAAGTTCAATACAAAACAAGGCTGGTAGGAAGCGAAACAGTGCAACGACTTAGGCGTCTTACGAGAAAGTAAACCTTGATAATTTTGGGCGTACGAAGAAGGAACCTCTGAAGAAGTTCAATACAAAAGGCCTATCTCGTAATGAATTGCCAGAAGTTATACAGCGCATATTGATGAATATATGATTTTTTAGTTATTACTTCTTTTTTTTTTTCTTTTGCATTGGATCAGATATTTAAGATAGCTTAAGTTTTGTGCTTTTCTATCCGTATGTGATTTCTGATTATTTAATTGCAACATTACAATAAGATTTGACAACCTTATGAACTTATTGAGAATTAGAAATTAGTGTTCAAATCTATTAAAATTAAAATATATAGGAATGTAACAATCATTCTTATTGTGTTGTTTTAGAAAGGGTATCGAAACTTTATTCTTTTAACAAAATTAGTTATTAAACTTTTGGATTCATGTAACAATGAAAATATAGGATTCAAGTTGAAAATTAAGACATACTATATATAAAACAACAAAACAAGCTTAGTTCAAATAGGGTCAGCCCTAGATTTACTCAAACACAAACAAACCACCCTACAAACAAGATATCGGCCATATACAAAGCCTCCAAACACTGCGACCACAACCATTCCCAATTTCTCTACTATCAAGTTTGAATTTTGTAGAAAGATGGTTTACTGTGATACTTTTTGTTGGATTTTTAGTCCATTGTATCCACCCCATTAATAAGGCACAGACACACCTATTACTGCAGCCTATGAAAACTAGACCCAAACCCATGATCTAGCCTGTGACCCGCGACCCTTGGCCTGACCTGTGCTCTTGACCTGCGCCTGCGACACGCCGAGTATCCGTGTCTTTCTTAGATGTTGCGCTGGCCGTCCGATTGGAGGTTTTAATCTCGACCGTTGGATCTCTTTTAACCTAGATATATATATATATATATATGAAGGGTGAGATGTGGCAGCCGTCATTCGATACAATCTCTTCCTCTCTCTACAATAGCGCCTCCCTAGCCTCTCTCATCCTCTCTCTCACAATCCCTTCCGGCGAAAATTTTTGGACGAATACACGAAAACCTACCCTAACAACCCACGACAACCACAAGAGGAACCTCAAATAGAAGAACACAAGGCGAAAAGAGTGATCAAAACACCTACGACATTGAACGAGCCCTTTGCAGCTCGAGCTGCAATGTTTCGAGCTGCAAAGGGCTCGTTCAATGTCGTAGGTGTTTTGATCACTCTTTTCGCCTTGTGTTCTTCTATTTGAGGTTCCTCTTGTGGTTGTCGTGGGTTGTTAGGGTAGGTTTTCGTGTATTCGTCGCATTTTGGGTGTTGTATTTGCGTCGATTTGTGTTCCGTGTGGTTTGGGCACTAAGCCTAAACCAAATTTTGTGCAAAATTTTCTACTGATTTCGTTAAATAAAATCTCGATCTCCTTCTATATTTTTAATAACACTTTGATTAGTCTAACTATTGTAACTTGTGTAGTTAATTATAGACTAGTCACCTATGTTTTTTTTAGAAAATTCCAATTATTTTTGTTTTTGCAACGAAAAATTTGTTTAATATGGGCTATAATGACACACAAACATACTAGTTTTGTGACTTAGAAAATTAGGTGGAAGATTTGTTGAATTTTGGGTCCAAAAGATATAGAAACCCCAAAATTTTGCAATCGATTACCCAATCCCGCACTTGATACAACCAATTTTGTAGCCGACCATATAATTTGGTCCACTCATATTTGGAGGATGAATCTCGACTGTTGGATTAAGTGTACACCAAATTGGACTCATCATTACTCCAAAAATCCTAATATAAAGATACTAAACTTGTCGACGCCATTCATTCACTCACCTTCTCTTTCTCTCTTTTGCTGCGCACTTATCCCTACAATCTAAAAATCCACTTGCGATCAATCCACACATTCTTCTTCTCTATTAGCCCTCTACAATCTTTGTCTTGCTATTCCTGATGTGTGGAACTTCCGAGATCTTCTGTTCCGCTGTCGTCTTGACTCTGTCCATGCCGTCTTCGATTCTGGTGATTCAATTTAAGCCTTTTATATGTTCGTGTGTGATATTTCATTCACTACTTTGCGATTAGGCGTAGAGCCACTCTTTCTAGAGGATTTGAGGCTAGTATATGGTGTGTTTGTTGTGATTTGGTTGTATTTTGGTAGGTTAAGGTCTCTAGTGTTTGATTTGGGTTTTTATTGGGTGTCTGAGCCTATTTCATCATCTTGTTAGATGAGGGTGTGATCTTGAAACAAAGATTTCAATATTTTGTTAATTTTTTCTGAATCATCTAAATCAATGTTAAATGTAAATTTTCGTTGGAATAGACAACTAGTTTCCTTCACAAATTTCCTTCTATAATATTTATCAAAGACATATGGATTGTCATACCTAAATTCTAGGGTTATTATACACTTTAATTTATTAAATTTTTAATTTTTTATCTCTATTTCTTATCTTATACATCCTCTTGTAACTATTAATGCAGGGTGAAAGGGTGAACAATGGAATGCAAATAAGAAAAAACCTACGTCTTCGTGGAGGGCAACAACAGCTAACTTATTCGCTTCACAGATTTATGATCAATATACTAAAGCTCAAAACTCAGTGCAGTCGAGCTCGACTGCTAACCAAAAAAACCCAGATACAGTTTAGACTTCTTGCAATACGTGCAAGACACATTATGAGTACTCTAATGGGTATTGGAATGAGCTTTTGGGGTATCTAAGTGTGAACATCCTTTTATGGCAACTGAAATTCCTTGTCCTAATTTAAAATCTGTGGGCTCACTTTATTGGAATTTCTCTGGGAACACTGAAGATCAACCAACCTTCTTGATTCATGTCAGAAGTGTGCCACTTGCAGCACCGGAAAGCTGTAGGAACATTGCTCCACCTTTAGATGCTACCTTAAGAAATCCAAAAATGGAGGAGCCAATTAAGATCAATGGTGAGGGTGGTCATTCAGGTGCTACTTTAACATGCGCTCAAAGTGAAGAAAAGGCTGGTAGGAAGCGAAACAGTGCAACGACTAAGGAATCTTATGAGAACGTAAACCTTGCTAATTCTGGACATACAAAGAAAGAACCTCTTAAGAAGTCTAATACAAAGGGCTTATCATGTGATTCTTTACTTATAGTTTTTATTGAGGTAAACCTGAACCTCGTTCTTTTTTGTTTTATATATGTTTTTATAGTTTTTAAATTTTATCTTTTTTTTTCTCAGTTTTTTTTTTCTTGTTTTTTTAGGGGGTGTAGGGTGGGGTTGTTTTAGCTTGCATTTGAGTTGTTTCTGAATGAGTTTTAGGTTTTTATTATTTATGCATAGGGCCAATGATTTATAGTAAGTAGCTAAAAAAAACTTAATTTTCTATCCATTTTGAGTTTTAAGATTTTATGGCCACACTAGATGATATTAAAAAACTCAATGAACTGTTGATAATTTTAATTTAATGTTTAGATCTACTATGAATATGCGGCAAAAAATCATTCCTATATTGTAGAATTCATAGTTTTCATATAATTTTTTGTTTATAGAAAGATAGATAGTAATTTTATATATTTTGTTAGTTTGACTTACCCTTGTATTTTGAGGATATAATCTAACCCTGTAAATGAAGCCATATATAGGACCGATATGCATTCTAATTTTGTTTCACAACCTAGATTATACAATGACGCCAACATGAAGTTTAATCAGCATTGAATGCTAACTTTCCAACTTAGATACATAACATACATTATCTAACTGAGCTCTTTTGCCTAAATGACTTCCCTTCTATACCATCGAATAGTCAAAATAAATTAGTTACCTAAGCAACCGTGTCATATACCAAACAACAAGATGGATTCACATTACAATTTAGCTGAACAATGCAATGTTTTTGCGTGTGTTTTATTTGTTTGTAGCTGTCTCGTGACTGGCATTCCTAAAGGGTAATAATTTTATAATAGAGTATATTATTAATTTTATTATTTATCAAAAATATCAGGTTTCTCGTACATCACATATGCATTAATATGTGCTTTAATTACTTTATTTATTTAATTTTTTTTATGTGTGCAATTATTAATTATCATTGCAGTGTTTGCTCGGGAGAAAAATGTCAGAATGGAAGGAAACCGGGTTGAAGTCAGTCAAAGACACATTTTGGACTTCCTGTAATACGTGCAAGACATATTACGAATACCATAATACATATGTGATGATTGATAACTAAAATTTGTTATTGTAGTTTGTATACAAATTCACAGGGAATTTTATTCGAAAATCAATGAGTAGATTTTTATAGGAAAACGATCAGATATAGCAATTATGTGGTTGTAGACCCTGAATAGTTGTCACAATTATTTATACTCTTTTTACTGGTGAATTTCCAGGTCGAACACAAGGATTTAAAGTCATGAATTTCAATGGTGAAAATATTGGAGAAATCGACGAAGGATACAAGAGAGGGTCCGCTTGAAGCGGGCCTGAATTTTAACTACTAAAAGCAGTAAATAAAGCAATAAAGATGAGGTGAACGGAAACGAGCGAAGCGAAAGCGAGAGGTGGAATTCCAGTGATAACCAGATGATCGGGACATGAGCGAAAATGGGGACCAGATGATCGGGGCATGGATGAATCGTGGTTACTAGAGGATCGGGGCGTGAGTGAGCGGCATATTATATATATATATGTATATGAGCGAATTAGAGTGAATGAGAGGTGCTGTGTCTGATTTGTGCGTTACTAAATGGATAGATTTCCCTGGATGTAGTGAGCGACTGACGTAAGTGTGTTATCGGAAGAATAAATGTATATTATGAAAATGATGAGAGAAAGATGTTGTAATTATATAAACTAGATTATAAAGAACTCATCGTGTTGGTATTTTTGACCTGGGGGGATTTACAACAAGACTTCAATGACACCCAGAATTAAGACATTATAAGAAAGAAACCCTACTGTCACTAGGAATTTCTACGACCTAATAGACCCCCGTCTATGTCCCATTAATTTTCCCAATTTCTGCCTCATTAGTGACTTTACCCCCTGATGTTACTACTATTTCATCAGAATCGAATTTAGCATAGCAGTTAAGCAGGTCGACAAGGCTCCCGCGTACTTAACTACATTGAACTACTTTGAAACCGCTTTTGGCGCATAACAAGGCTTAATTAATCAATTCTTCTCTCGCTCTATACCAGTGATATGAAATTCTCTAAACTTGATTTATATAAGTATGGAAAATTGTGAAAGAATTTAATTCGAAGAAGTGAATGATATTTCTTTATATACTATGAAAGCGCGAAAAATTAGACTACAAAGCTGTAAATGAAAGCAGTAATCTAATCTAAGAAAGCAATAAAGACGCGGCCAAGGGAGAGGGAAGACCCCTACTCCCTTGGCCTTTCCTGTGGAGAACTCCCTGACAGGGTTGGAGCTCTCGGAAACAGGAAGACGACGAATGCTATATGTATGCTGAAATCACCAAAGAATTTGATATTTTTACATAAAGATATCTGGCCCTATTTATAGCAGGTGTAAAGAAACGGTTGCAAGTAGCTGTTAGGCAGTTCCAACTACTGGGCAGTTAGGCGGTTGCTAGTGGTTATTCTGTTTAAGCAGTTGCTGGCCATAACTCTCAGGGTGCCCGCTTCGCTTGCGTTGAAGGTTAAGGGCATAGATCTTCCTCGCTTGCTGGAGAGTGGGAGGGCATCAGCGCAGCTCGGCTCGCTTGTGCTAGCTGGAATTGGAATGGTTGTACCGCTGCAGTTGAAGTACTTAGTTGAAATCTGATGACAGTCTGCAGCGGTGGGTATCTGAACTGTCGCTTGCAAGTAGGAGAGGTTATCGCTTGCGGGCTGTGAAGGTGACCGCTTGCCTCTTATGCCTTAGTATTCAAAATATGTCTGGGCGCTTGCAAGCGAAGGTGGCTGTCGCTTGCGGCATCTGCCTTAGCTTTTCTGGTTCCAGATTACCTCTTACGAGGGCAAAAATCGTTAATAATCTCAACAACAAATTATGGATCATGCCTAGTGATATAAATCAATATTGTATGCCGATCACGAATTATTTTGATGGTTCTTATGCAGAAATTCGAGTAATACACATTTTTGTCAAGCTAAGAATATGCTCATATTTGGAGTCATCAAACCTCCTCACACTAAACCTTTGTTCGTCCTCGAACAAACTGCATTAAAAGATCAAGAGGTTATTCCGTTCACGGCAATCAAGAAGTGCTAATAACCAGTGCCATGATTGGGAGTAGAGTGAATCTCGGATAGGAACAAGTGAACCACAAGTATTCAGCATGTCATTTGATTTAACAAGATTGGAGTTGTCCAGGTATTGTCAACTTTGTTCGCTTAGCAGGGATTCTTTTTTTGATTAAGGAAACCTTCAGTCGAAGGGCACGAAGAATATATATATATATATTTTTTTTGGATCGTGAGTTTCAAACAAACATTGTGTCTGCTCATGATCTTATTAGGTTCTCACACGCCTAGGCCTTTTTAGTTCCTTTGTAATGATAGGTACTCCCTGCTTTGCTTGCATCGTATCTTAAACCAAATTTAAGGACTTCTCTTTTCAAGTTATGCCTTATGACAAAAGTCGAAAAACCTGGTCACTTGCCTTACTGAGTATGGAGAAGTTGAAACGAAGGGGGCACTAGTTTTTTCATAAGTCTCTTTCACTGTTACTTAGTCTAACACTAGTGTTCGAGTTATGGTGAAGTTCGAAGGACAAGTACTTAGTCTGATGTGCTTAGGTTGTCTAACTCTACTCTAGAACATATCACAAAGTTAACCAAGCAGAATATCACAGGAATTTCACATAAGAGCACATACTTCAGGTTACGTTAAGCATACAATAAAGAAAAATTGTCACGAGTTACCAAAAATTGTTGTTTCCTTGATTGATGTTATGTACAGCCCTTGCTATTCTCAAATTTTTGTACATGGGGGAGGACCTTTCTTTACTTCTTCTTCTCGCTTGTTGGTCCTCGCCCTTGAGGAAGGTTGCGTGATATCTGCCGCACTAGGTCTTCCAATCGAAGGAGACTCCTGGCTGTGTCAAGCTGTTGTTCCATCAGGATGGCGTTTTGTTGGGTAAGAGCTGCGAGAGCTTTCATAATTTCCTGCAGCGTCGTACCCATGCTTGCAGCCAGAGTCTCTAGCGCTTCCACTCGCTCTTCTAGTGCGGCAGTCGCTTTCTTTCCAGCAGTCAGTTCAGCACCCAGACTCCTAGCATATGTGTCTATTAATGTCTGAGTCATCATGTATTGGGTGAGAATGGCTGAGTTGAGTTCATCCAATCTTCTTTCAATATTTTCTAGCGATGAGCGGGGGGCTGATGGTCCAGCACCCGCCGCTTCTGGTGATTATCGCTCGCTCTCAGCTGAACTGATTTCCACTGGCTCTTCCTCTTTTTGGGAATCGGGTGCTGGCTCAGGGGAGACATCCCTGAGGAATACTAGCTGCTTCGCTGCTTCGTACTTCAGCTGCTCTGGTTTCTTCCATTGTAAATACCTTCTGAATCGCAGCTGGAGTTGGGTCAGCGGTTTCCAGTATTTTAGCAGCTAGACCAGCACCTTCATTTTCCTTTTTCTTTCTCGCTCGAGCTGCTGCATTCGTTCGATCCGTTGTACTGCGGCAAGCAGCTGAGCTTTCTGTTCTTGAAATTTCCTATCATGTTCCTCCTCCTCCTCCTCTATAAGTGTTTTATCAGATTTGGTTGAGACAGGAGTCAGAATTTTTGCAGGTGTCCCGATCATGGTAGGTGTTCCTGGGCTGCTCAGGGATACCTGCAAGATAGGAAGATTTAAAATCACTGCCTCCACCTCCTCAGCTTCATTGGCAGCTTCAGCGGTTGTGGCAGCGGGGACCTCGGCGGGATATTCTCTGTATGACTCCACGGTGACATCGATCCCGCCAATAGTTTCTTCGGTCAGTACAGTCTCCCGCTCCTCCTCTGCTCCAGCAGCAGTAGGCTCCACCGCTCCCGGCTGGTTAACGGGTGTGGTTTCCTTGCCTGTTCCAACAGCAGTTGGCTCTCCTGCCCCCTGTTGGTCGAAGGGAACAGGTTCATCGTCAGGTGGGCTTGGCAGCCTTGGTGACACCTCCTCCGTCGCTGGCCGTGCCGGCGAAGGTCTCTCGGGTTGGGCGGTGGGTTCTCTGATGATGATCCTCTTCCGTAGCCTGGAGAGGGGAATCGTTTCCTCGCTTGATTCTACATCCACCGATTTCCCCTTCTCTTTCTCCTGCCTCGTCGCTCGCCGAGGGGGTGTTGGATTTTTTCGCAATGCTTCTTTGACCCTTGGCTTCTTGACAGGAGGTGGAGCAGGGTCTTCTTGCTTCTTTGACCTTTTTTCTCCAGCGGCCGCTCGCGGCGCGTTTCCTCCCTTATTGCTCTTGGCCGCTTCAGCCCCAAATAGATTTTCCTCAATCTCCCGAGCGACGCGGAGGGCTTCCTCTTCCTTATCGTTGGGAGCTTCATTGGAGACTGTTCTCTCAGAGTCGGGCTCGGTATGAGGTGTCACATCTTCTCTGATGATTTCCCCCCTCACAAATCTCATCTTTCTTTTTGGTGGAGGGGGCGCTGCCGCTTGTGCTTTCCTCTTTTTCTGTTTGGGGATAAGAGTAAACCCCTTGGACTTCAGCCAATTTTTGTGTAAGGCCGCTGGGAACAGCGGCTTCATTTGGAGCTCTGGGGCTGGAGTGGGCAAATCGACGCCCGCGCGACGGCAAAGTTCTGTGATCAGGGTCCCGTGACCCAGTGTTCTGTCTCCGCTTCTTTGATCCTAGATATCTAAGCCGATGATCGCGCCCAAATCCACATCATTGGATTCCTCCAGAATTGAGCGAAGAGCAACGAGGTAATCAGGACGAATGTCAGTGGTGTGAGCGGTGATCATTATTCTGCTCAACGACCACTTCACCCATTCCTTTTTCTCTTCGTCCACCGACCCGAACTTCAGGTTCCTTTTCTCGTATGCAGGGGTGGTGGCAAAGGTCCTATACAGCGACTGCAGTTCAAGTGAACTGCAGACCTCCGTTGCCTTCAACTTATCTTGCATCTCCTGGGCGGGGTAGTGGTGTTCCCATCCCAGGAGTCGGTTGATCTTCCTGGCTGAGCAGTCTACCCATTTTCCCCGAACGTAGACATGTTTTAGACTATCAGCCTGGTTCAGATTAGCGTAAAATTTCCTCACCAGTGATACATCCACTAGTTCATTGGGGTTTCTGATCAACCAAGACAGGCCCCGCTCCTCCAGCCAGTCAGAGAGCGGGCCTGTGATCTTCTCGGGGTCAAATCCTCTCTCATAGAGGATCCCTATCGCCTTCATCCGCTCGTACGCTGCCGCTGCATCAATGTTGGAGAAGTGCAGCTTGTCATACTGCTTCGATCTTAACACATCCTTTGCAGTGTCGGCAGCATTCTTCTTGGAGATATTGCTCCGGAATGCCTTCATTTTCTTTTGCGGGGCTTCTTGGCAGGCGAATTTGTCTTTGAGCTCCGTCAGCTGGTACTCCTTCAGCTGCTCGTATTCCGATTCTTCTAATTCCAGTCACCAGTCGCTCACCGGATACCTCTGCTCTGTTTCCTCAGTATATTCGAATCTGAGGTAGTCATCCGGGAACTCTGGGATGAATTTTCGGAATGGCAGTGACTTCAGCTGCCTGAGCTTCCCCCAGTCCTCTGTTAACTACAACTGTCTCCTCCTCTTGTAGTATGCCTCAGGTGGCGCTGGTTCTACAAATTCTGCCCCTGAGGTTGTTGTCACCACCTTACGCCCGTCCGTGGATTTGATCCTTTGGACTCTCTGTTCGATCCTCTCCTCTACTTTCTCAAACTCCTTTTTCAACGTTTCTTGCTTTGCTGGATCTATTTTGCTAAGCCTGTCCTGAACCTAGGGTTTCCAGAATTATTGTTTAAGATACGAACTCTATGGATCCTGCCTCATTATCTTTAAATGTAAATAACATCCATATATCGGCAATCATATTCACAGTTCGAGTGATTTTAACCCTAAATCCTCCCCCTCACAACGAAACAGAACACTACTGTAAGTGTTACGTTGTGAAAAAGGGAGAAAATCACAAAACAAGACCTAACCTACAGATTAAAGTGAAATTCATCCGTAGAAAGCAAGTATATCAGTTATTGTATCTAAATCTAGCATATAATAGGCTTAGATTCACAGAAATCAAACAGAGAAACATTTTCGCAAAAATGAAGAACAGTAAAATATCGCGAAAATAATTTGCCATTCTGTGTTTTTGAACGTTAAATCGGCAAGAATCAACCGTAAAATAGAGTTTATGTACTAAGGTTAACCTAGATCTTACCTTAGATGAAGCTATTATTGGTTGAAATGGTGAGATTTTGAAAAATTTTCGCTTGGAGAGTGGTGGTTACTAAAGCTTCGGGAGGAAGTTACTGTAGGGCAAAAGTGAAAAAATGACTGTAGACTGGGGTATTTATAGATTTTCTTATGGCTCTCTGGAGGGTGAGCGGAGCGATGCCAAGTCTACTGTAAATACTTATAAAGGTATAGAGGAGGGTATTTCAGGGTGGGTGAGCGGGTAAAGCAACACTTCTATTTGCCTAAGGTTGACACACAAGCGATGATGAAAGCGGTGCTGGGTGAGTAATACTGCTCCCCCAGTAAATATCAGGGTGAAATAAGCGAAGCGATGGTTAACTTGGGTCAGGCTTAGGTTAGAAGTTAAAATGATAACATTAAACTATTCCTATAAAGCGATAATCCTATTCTAATGAAAGCGATAACAAAACTGTAAACCTATACTATGAAAGCGAAAAAAAATATTATGAAATCTATCTATGGAAGCGATAAAGGAAAGCTTGTAAATTTTAACTATGAAAGCGATAAATTCTAACTAGGAAAGCGATAAAAGAAAGCTGTAAATTGGCGGATATAAGATTAGGCTTCTGGATTCTTTTCACAAAATCTATCATCGAATGAGCTTCTGAACCTCCATCAGATTAATATCCGCAGTGGCCTGCTGCAATACAGGCCCTTCGATATACGGTTTCAGCCTCGCTCCATTCACCAAGAAGGAATATTTCTCTCCGGGGGTCTCCACATTGTTAATCCTTATGGCTCCACTTGGCAGCACTTGTCTGACAATATACGGCCCAGTCCACCGTGACTTCAATTTCCCTGGGAATAAATGGAGCCTAGTGTCATATAAAAGAACTTTGGATCCCACCGTAAACTCCTTCTTCAACTTCTTGTCATGATAGAATTTCATCCTTTCCTTATAGATCTTCGCGCTTTCATATGCAAGGTATCGGAACTCGGTCAGATCGAGCAATCTTTTAGCGCGCTTCTCCTGTGCTGGGAGAAGATCAAAGTTGAGATACTTGATAGCCCAGTACACGCGATGCTCTAGTTCCATCGGTAGGTGGCAGGCTTTTCCATATACAAGCCGATAAGGGGACATTCCAATTGGAGTCTTGAAGGCTGTTCTATAGGCCCACAATGCATCATCCAATTTCTCTGTCCAATTCTTGTGACTCTTATTTACTGTGGTCTGCAGGATGTGTTTGATCTCTCTATTTGAAACTTCCACTTGACCACTCGCTTGTGGATGATAGGGGGTAGTTAGATGCTGGCGAACACCATATTGTTGTAGGCTAGATTGTAGTGCCTTATTCACAAAATGGGTGCCTCAATCGCTTATTATCGTTTTGGGGACCCCAAACCTTGGGAATATAGTATATTTTAGGAACCGGATCACTGATCGAGCATCATTTGTGGTGAGCGCTTGCGCTTCAACCCACTTACTCACATAATCCACCACCACCGGAATATATTGTCTCCCATTAGAAGGTGGAAAGGGACCCATAAAATCTATCCCCCATACATCAAATATGTCCACAAACAAGACTCCAGTTTGGGGCATCTCATCTTTCTTCGAGATGGACCCCAATCTTTGGCATTTGTCGCAAGATTTGGCAAAGGCATCTGCATCTTTTTGTAGGGTAGGCCAAAAGAAGCCTGACTGTAAAACTTTGGCCGTTGTGCGCATGCCAGCGAAATGCCCTCCTACATGGGACCCATGACATTCGTTCAAAATCAGCGGGATCTCAGACTCCGCTACACAGCGACGGATTATCCCATCTGAGCCGATGTTGAACAAATAAGGTTCATCCCAAAAATAATCCTTTGCCAAACTGAGCAATCTCTTCTTTTCCCGTTGTACAGTGTGCGTTGGAAACTGTCCTGTAGTTAAAAAGTTGGCCAGGTCAGCGAACCATGGCTCTTTCGCTTGCACCAGAAACAGCTTCTCATCTGGGAATTGTTCATTGATCCCAGGAGATTTGTCCTCCTCTTGTCGCAACCTACTGAGGTGATCCGCCACATGATTTTCCTTTCCCTTCTTATCCTTGATTTCTATGTCGAATTCCTGGAGCAACAAAACCCATCTAATCAAGCGGGCTTTTGTCTCATTTTTCTCCATCAAATATTTAATGGCTGCATGGTCAGTGTGAACAATGGTCTTGCTTCCGATAAGATACTGTCTGAATTTCTCAAAAGCGAAGACAATAGCTAGCAGCTCTTTCTCGGTGGTAGTGTAATTCTTTTGAGCAGAGTCCAGCGCTTTACTTGCATAATAAATGACGTTAAGTTTAGACTCCACCCTTTGTCCTAGTACAGCGCCGACGGCATAATCACTCGCATCCGCCATTAGCTCGAATGGCTCACTCCACACTGGTGCTGAAATTATAGGAGCAGAGGTCAGCTTATCCTTCAGTATTCGAAAAGCCTCCTCACACTCGCTTGACCAGTAGAATTGAGTATCCTTGCACAGCAGTGATGTGAGTGGTTGTGTGATTTGACTGAAACCCCTGATAAAACGACGGTAAAATCCCGCGTGGCCCAGAAAGCTTCGCACTCCTTTCTCATTCAAGGGTGCTGGCATTTTTTCGATTACATTAACTTTTGATCTATCTACTTCTATACCGGAAGACGAGATCTTATGGCCCAAGACAATTCCTTCATTCACCATGAGGTGACATTTCTCCCAGTTCAGCACGAGATCAGTCTCAATGCAACGGAGAAGTACTTTTTCCAGATTATTCAGGCATCTGGAAAATGTCTTGCCATACACCGAGAAATCATCCATAAAAACTTCAAAACAGGAGTCCAGGAGATCACTGAAGATATGGTACATACATCGCTGGAAGGTAGCCGGAGCGTTGCAAAGTCCAAACGGCATCCTCCTATAAGCGAAGGTCCCATATGGACAAGTAAATGTAGTCTTCTCACAGTCCTCCGGTTTGATGGGAATTTGATGGTAGCCTGAGTAGCCATCGAGGAAACAGTAGTATTCGTGACCTGCAAGCTTCTCAAGGCATTGATCAAGGAAAGGAAGTGGGAAATGATCCTTCTTTATGGTTGAATTCAGTTTTCTGTAGTCGATGCAAACCCTCCATCCAGTGACAGGTCTTGTCATGAAGACCTCCCCGTCGTCGCTTGTCTGTTCAACGAATCCTCCTTTATTGGGAACCACCTGGGTTGGGCTAACCCACTGGTTGTCACTGATAGGGTATATGATTCCTGCATCGAACAATTTGATCACCTCTTTCTTGACTACTTCTTGCATATTCTCGTTCAAACGCCGCTGAGGCTGTCTACATGGCTTTGTATCAGCTTCCAGCCTTATATGG